GTGCGATTCGTTTCTTGAAAGTGTTTTAGTAAATGGAAATTTTTTTTTTATTACCAGCCTAATGAACCCTAGTAACCGCCCATTTTCCAACAAGGTATCATAGCTATCGATTCCACCCTGCAAGGCACATCTAGGAGGACATTATTCTATGTATTTTTTAAGAAACTCCTTTCAAACACAACATTATCTCCAATTCTCCTGCCTTACGATGGGTGGCTCCAAAATTGGCTGCCAATGCAAATCCCATCAAAAAAATTTCAGCGAAAACTCACGTATGACATATCATCGTAATATTCCTTAGTCATTCAATGCTCTCAATTACGAACGTGTTTTCGCAAGCAGAACGAATCAGAACCTTTAAATTTTTGGGTAATCTCATTATGACCCTCATGTGTTCGATGGGGTTTCTCACCTCTGTTATCGTGGTAAGTTTACATCTCGTTCCAGTTTGTATACCTAAAGTGTAAATTTTGGACAGTTCATCACCCTGTTAAGTTAACTGAACTGTTACCAGTCTCCCGTAACTGAATGACGTGGTGCCCATGTGGACATGAATGGCACAATTTAAACCCTCCAAATATTTCACTTTCAGGGGACCCACTCACAAGCCGTCGTAACATTTCGCACACCCTTGCCACTCAAAGAACCCACTGTTTACTCTGGGTCACTTGATTCGTTAAGCCATGCGCTGGCGATGGGTGGGGGAAAAAAAGTGTGGTGTAAGACACTACCTTTTTAATGTAGTAAACCTACCACCTTTTTTGAAGTATTAGATAGATATGGGTTTAGGTTGTATCCGATTTTTCAAAATGTTTCTTTGTCTGCAAGGCGATCCTATATGAAACCTTAAAAAACCCTGTTTTCATTATCCCATGTTTTGTATTCACCATTTCCTCTTGGTCTCAATTGGTTTGGGTTAACCTGTATTTGTTATAAACCCTTAAATCCTTTAGATTATTTTTATGTTTTTCACCTTTCTCCTTACTTTGCAGCATGGGAAGTGGTCTTAAATGCATATACACGGGGAAGTTTGAGGCTTAGATGATTACGTAGACAAAGATCTCATGACTTTTTTTCGAGATTGGAAAATGGTAAGGATTCTATTGATGGGTTTTTTGTTGTACCTATAATTCTGTGATGTCTATAGGAGGATTAAGCTTAACGAACAGGCCAGATATGTGAAAGTGGGCAATTATGTTCCGGGTAGGTAAATAGAAATTACTAGAACAATCAAGTCGAAGCAAGCTGCTTGAAATCATAAGCTTGATGAAATCTAGAGAGAGTGCATATTTAAAACGGTGTCATTATTATGAAGTATTGAGGGAGAGGCGATTTCGATTACAAAGGGAAAGTGGATAAAACTGAAGAAGCGAAGGCAAAGGGTGCGGCATACAGAAAACCGGCTGTGCTTTTGAATGCATAGCACATGGTTGAGAGAATATGAGGCAAGCAACTGAGGGAGGAAGTGGAAGTGAATGAGGCTGATTCATCCAATGCTGATAATGAAAGCGATGAGAGAAAAAGGTGATGTATTGAAACTAAATGAAGTCAGAAGCTAATAAAGTTAATATTTTAAGGCCGTTTAATATCTTAAAGGTTTTATTTTTACAAATTTGCATTTATTTGTCAATTAAATGCAAGAGGATTTTAACAAATATGAGTTAGGTGGGACAGGTGAAGTAATATAGATGATGATCGCGTAAGAGATGATACGCTGATAAAAATTGGAGATGCTGAGGGGGAAAGGGTATGGGACAACATTCAGAAGACGTTATGATGCTAGGTATGTATAGACTCCCCTTGATGAGAGACAAGACTTAAATAGCCTGCACAGTGTTACGATTCAGGTCAGAATGTGATGAGAGATTCTACCCTGAGCTAAAAAGAAAGGAAGATGACAAGGAAATTGAAGTTCAAGATGATTGGAAGAGAGGCAGTATGTTCATTAAGCATTGAAGATAAAAAAAATGTCACTATAAGCATGGTGCACTATAACTAAAAAAAGATGTACAAATATTAGTGCAAGGTGTGAGAAAAACTTATATCATGGAGGATTTAGTTAACAAATTACAATGAATAATCATGCGCATACGAGAACCTATGTTGGAAATAGAATGTCCGAGATTTTAGGGGATCCTAACTCACAAAGGATGCATGTTGTTGGAGTATGAAGTGACTCAAAAAGAGAAAATATATATGGTTGTTTAGGGCTTGAGGATTTAAAAAGTAAAGCTTGTAAGGCAAAGTGGTTGTCACTTGTACAGTTCAGATGAAGGTGTTGCCCTATGATGATGCTCATGTGATATTTCAGAGGATTTATATTTGTTTAGGGGCTTACAAAAATGGATTTAAGAATGGAAGGCAGCTATTGGATGTTGTCACTTGAAGGAGGTTCAAAGGCCTACTGTCTACAGGGAATAGATGCAAAATAACCAAACTTGGGTTATTGCATATGCCATAGTAGAGCTCGAGAACAAGGACAGTTGAGTTTGGTTTCTGGAGCTGCTAGCTGCTGACTTGGGAATTGTGAATCAGCGTGCTTAGACTTTCATTTCTAACAAACAAAAAGGTTTAATACCAGCTTTTGAGAAATTGCTTCCTAATTGTAATCATCGGTTCTGTGTTAGGCACTTATACACCAACTACAAGGCAGATGGGTTTAAAGGGAAAGGATTACAGGATGCCTTGTGGAATGCTGCCAACGCAATAACCATCACTGATTTTAGAGAGAGTATGGCTGAGGTGAATAGGCTGAATGTCGAAGCTTATAAATGGTTGGTAAAGAGACCAGCCTTGTATTGGAGTAGATCACACTTTGAGACACACACTCAGTGTGACATTCTCTTAAACAACCTCTGTGAGAGCTTTAATTCTTTTATCCTAAGGTATAGGGATAAGCCTATTATTACCATGTTGGAAACTATAAGAGTTTTATTGATGAAGAGGATATGGTTAAGAAAAGATGCAATGTGGAAGGATAAAGGAGCTATCTGCCAAAAAATCCAGAAGATGTTGGAAGAGTTCAAACTGAAAAGCTCACACACTATAGCTACATGGTCTGGAGGAGAAAATTTTGAAGTGGATGAAGGCAGAGGCAATATATTTGTGGTGGATTTGAATGGCTGCACTTGCTTATGTAGAAGATGGGATTTGACAGACTTTCCTTGCATACATGGTTGCTCGGCCATCTATTATGCAAGGAGACAACCTGAGGAATTTGTTTCCTCTTGGTACAAGAAGGAGAAGTACTTTGAAGCTTACGAAAACTTGATTCAACCCATCCAAGGCATGAAATTTTAGGAGCCATCTGAAAACAAATGCATTCTTCCTCCAACTTTTAAAAGGCAACCTGGGAAACCAAAAAAGAGGAGATATAGGGAGGATGATGAAAATGAATCAAGTTAAGCAAGAGAGGGCAAAAAAAGTGTGAAGTGTAGTGTTTGCAAGGACTCGGGACACAACAAGGCTAGATGCCCAACCACTCATCCTCCTTCAACTGCTAGAAAAGGAAGAAAAAGCAAGAAAAATGAGGTATAATTTTGATATTTTTTTGTTGATTTTTCATTTCTTAAGTGAATTTGTTATTTGTGAAGTGTAGTATCTGTCAGTGCTAATGCTATTTGGGTTCATTACTTAGGCCTCAACATCTAAGGTATCACAACCCTCTCAGTCATCACAACCAATATGCACTCAGAAAGCTCCACAACCTTTATCTCATCCAACTCAAGCCTCTCAAACCACTTCAAAGTCTACCACAAGAGGTTAGAAAAGGAGGAGGAATGTTCCATGATGCTGCTTTAATGCTTTAGGTTGTTTAAGGGTTCATTTTGTTATAGTTGAATATGCCCTTAGGTTTTTTGGAAACAACTTTCTGATAGATTTTAGTGTTTTGGACATATCTTTGGTGTTTTTGGTACTCTTATTTTGGTTTTTGGAAGAACACCTTAACCCATTAGTTGTTAAAGTTGTGGTCTTTTGATACTTTCGTGTGAATTGGAGGGTGTATATTGAACTTTGTTATGAATTGAAAGTTGTTGACAATTGAACTTTGTTGGTAGTTGGTAGTTTAAATGATGAATTTGCAGATTTAGAATTCAAATTTTTTTTGGAATTGAATTTGCAGATTTGGAGTAGAAAGTTGGTGTTTTTTCCCTATTTAATTTTATTTTTTTTCCAAAAAAATTTGGCGGGAAAAATGTAAGGTACACGATTATGGGTTAAAAATTTTGGGCAGGAAATTTTTTTTTAAAACTCTTTCTCTAAAAAAAAAATCCACGTGGACCCCTTAATGACACATGGAACCCAGTCATTGTCCACATGGACGCCATGTCATCAGTTAACGGGAGACTTAACAGTTTGACTAACGAATGTCTGAGACTGTCCCAAAATTTACACTTTAGGTATGACTCTGGGACGAAAAAAAACTTGATGTACTAAATGTTGAAAACCACGAAACATGAGGTTAGTAATATGAGATTTACCCTTAATTTTTATTTCTATTTCAAATTATTTTATTTCTTTTCCTTTTCATTTTGTCTCTTTTTATTTAGATATGCATTAAAAGTGGAAAAAATTTAATAGTATTTTTCTTTACTTGTAATTTATAAGTGAGAGAATTTAGGAAATTGTTATTAGCAATTCAAAAATCTCATTTGGCACTCTAAACTTTCTATAATTAGAAAGAAAAATACACTTGTGAGGAGTGTAGAATGAGATTTTTGGAATGCTAATAACAATTCCCTTTTATATTTGATTATTATCAAAAACGAATTTGAACTATATTACATTATTACTTCTAGCTATTATTATCATCAAAACGTGTTCCGTCCCATCTTACATACCAAACGCACTTTTAGTGATAAATAATATCGTTTATTCTATATAAAAAAATGTGGAAAAGAATTAAGATCCAAAAAGTGGGAGAAACCCATTTTCTCTCCTCGCTCCCTCTTCTCTTTCACACGCTGCAACAGCGGCCCAAGCCGACGACTGCCACGCAACAGCTCTGTCGTCCACAGGTCACCAAAGGCTGTCAAACTACACATCCTGAATGCTCTTGCCGTCCTGTATCCAATCCCCAAGTTCGTTTCTATAAATTCGTAGGCGGTTTTCCGCAATTTCCAATTTAAGAAACGGTGACCCAGGGTTTTCCATCCAACTTCCGGCCAATATCGCAGTAATTGGACCTCGACCTAAGACGTAGAAATGATCCTCTTCTCGTGGGCTGTTCTCCAATGTAAGTTCTTTTTCCGAATTTTCAACTTTCAGTTTTGGGATTAATTCTTGATTTCGAATTTTATTCGATTTTCTGTATGAATGTCGGAGATGAGACTTATGGTAATTGTTGTATCTCTGAAGTTGTTGAAACCCTAACGATTACGTTCCAGGTTGATAGTTGAAGCATGTCTATAACATGGTGTGGGATTGAACTCTGTAGAACCTTGTAATGTTGTGAATAGGCAATGAATGAACTCTGTTGCATAGGAATTATAAAATTCAAGGAAAGAGTGTGAAAATGTGGTACGAAATTAGTAAATGGGGGCCAAAATCATGTTATGATGAAGACAATAGCTTAGCCCGATTCCTTGTTTATTCTAGTTGTATTCAGCAGCTTACTTTGGTTTTGAATTGCCTGCTGTCCAGTAGATGTTTAAGACTTAATGTGGAGGAAACTCTCTCTTGAAGTTGCTTGAACTTACCTATTTGGTAGACAAGGCTCCTCAAGGGAGAGCTAGCCGGAAGTGTGATAAATATGATTTCCGTTACGTTTAGGGGGAAAACCAGATTTTATGAATTAATATCAGACCTTATAGTGAATGATCATATTATTCAGCTTACATTAGTTGCGGCTAGCTAGTGTATCATAATATTATTTAGCTTACATGTATGATCAATATTACACGTGTCATTCTACATACATGCCATTCATCTTACACGTGTATGGTATTACAGAACTTTTAGCATTATAAATTGAAATGCAAATATTGGTAGCTAGAGACAACCTTTCCAAATTATCATAACAAATAAGCAAACGCTAGTTTAGAAACAAACAGTAATAATCACAATCGAAATTTATAATACATCAAATAAGCAATTTAAATAGTATTTTGGAATGAAATTCTGGTCAACAAATGACCTTTTATTGGCTTGTACACAACGTTCTGTAAACTCTTGTCCTGCATGCAGTGGAGAATATTAGAAATCACTGAAATTGGAATAAGTTCAAATGGTAATGCTTATTGTATATGTGTTTCAGAAAATAGCGGTTTAAGGACTAAATTAATTTTCAAGTCACTTAGCACTACAGTTATGTTTATTGTATATGTGTTTCTCAAAACGGTTATGCTTGTTTTAGATCAGGCGAGACATGCTAACAGAAAAAGGTTATTCCAATATTATTGTGGAATCTGATAAAGGTTTCTTGAGGCAGTTGCTAATCCTAAAAGCTTCTTCCATCTTAACTGCTATTGGGTGTAAGACTTTTATTGGGCTTACATCTATTTAGGAGTCCTAATTGATTAAGGATAAAAGAAGGGAATTAATATTTGATTATTCCGGATTACTTATGGTAAAGTATAGCAATAATTTTTGGGAATATCAATCCTATTAGGTCATGGATTTTAGAGGTGCTAAAGATCTGTATTAGGGTTTTCTTTATGGGCAAGAAACCTAATACTCTCACCTATAAATATAAGGCTTAGGCCCCACTTTTATACACATTATTAAAGCACAAAACACTACCCCATATAGGAGTGCATAAGGCGTGTAGAGAGAGATGAAGATCTTTGCTTGTTCGTTGCTGATCATGGTTCAATCTTGTTCATATCAATGGCTTCTCAAGGTTAGTACTTTTAGAGTGCATATTATAGATCGACTTGCATTGGGTTCCTTGAAAAAATGAATTAGGTAGCAGAATGTGGTTCGACGACCCTTTATTGTTCAATTTTTTAAGTACCATCCATGTATGTGTATATATTCTATCAAACATGGTAGAATAATTTTTTGAGTACTTTATAGATAATTTCATCAGTTTTTACTAAACCTAGAAGAAGTGGGAGACGGAAACATGCTAACCTTTGTGCTTGATCAATCAATTGTGTTAGTCATCTTCATGTAACCATAGAGTTCGTCATCTTCATTTTCATCCTCACTGTACAATTCGTCATCGTTATCCTTCCTGTTTTAGAAATAAAAGACGGATGTTTTCTTGAGATAGAATTGAGTTTTAAAAAATAAAATTACTTAAATACACTTTAGTGTGAACATATGCATATATATGGTATTTGACTAAATTTTGAGAACACTTTTGTCAAACTAAATATGAACTGTTGATTATGCTTTCCCTAAATTTGTATTCAAAATTTTGGTGGTGTTTGCCAAATTATGCTTGTAGCTCAAAACCAGAACGTATTTGTTGGTTGAATAAATAGAAATTTAAGATTGAGCATATAAAGTGCCAAATTATGCTTGTAGCTCGCTTACTGTAAATTATCAACCAGAACGTAACTGTTCCTTAAAGTGGCATTGAGGTCCTCCATCCATTCAGCTACTCCCAACGCGGTGCGTACTTGCAATCGGGGATGTGTGTCAACAAGCTTAGGAGCAAATAGCTTTAAGTTTTGGACCTTAATAACCTTCAATAACTCCAAAGACGGCAACTTCAAAGTATAAGCTTCACCACAAAAATACTTGAGTTTTGGCAGCCTTTTAAGCTTGATGGACTTCACTTTAGGTAATGTAATTATTTCAGCTGTTTCTTCTTCTGCGGCAACGATTTCTTCCATCTGCTCACACTTCTCAACTTTTATGTCCTCTACACTCACAAGAAGTTTGACTATGGACGAAGAAAACAAGTATTTCAACTGGTTGCAACAATTGACCTTCAATGATTTCAAGTTTCCGAAGCTGCTTCCTGTGAACATCTGTTGTGAACTACCCGTTTCCCAAACACGTGTTAAACTTGGCAACTTATATAACCACAAGGACCTCAATTTATTGAATCCTTCAAAGGAGTGACTACTTTTATCATGCTTCGGTCCCTTTAGGTGGAAAATCACTTCCATTGAATTACAATCACGTACAGTAAGAATTTCGAGATTATCATAATCATTTGAGTCCTCAAGATTGGTTGGTGTAACCTAGAAAATTATGCATGATCAGCACGATGATACAATACTAATTAAAAGTTGTACTTAAAGAGGTTAATTGAACCTGATTTAAAAGCTTACCTCCAGATTAATTGGACGTGGCAATATTTCAATGGAGCGGTGGGCGTTTGGTCTTGAATATGGTGTGCATCCACATCCAGCAGGACACCAATTTGATGGAGAAGTGCTGAAATCGTGACTTGTTGAATCCTTCTCAGACTTATTCTCCAACTTCTTTCTTTGTGGAATTACAGCACACAATGTCTTCAATTTTTCACATTTTTCCACGTGCATATTTTTTGTGGATGACCATAGAAATGTAGATCCTTCGGAACAAAGACTTGTGAGAAGAGGCAGGTCTACTAGTTCAAATGTGGACAGTTTCGGAAACAAAATCATGTCTTTTGTTGCCTCATCTTCATTTTCCTTTGGGATTCTGACTATAGTTTCCATGTCCGGACATGTTGATATCTCTATCTCTTCAAGATTCAAAAGTTCTCGGGCAATTAAATGCGAGAACACATATTTTAGACCAGAACATTTTCTCAATCCCAAATGTCTCAAATTTTGGAAGCCTTGAAATCTAGACGGAATGTTTTTCCACAAGTGTGTATACGTACAATTGAGTATCTTCAACTTACGTAAATGGGGAAATGTTGGAGTTGTCTGCCCATCCATAACTATATGGATTTTCAGATCAAATAGCACGCCGTCAAACTTCATATCCTCCAATTTTACCTTTTCCAAACTTGGGAACCATGAAATGCACTTTGATGGAAATATTGCTTTTTCAAATATTCCTGCAGATTGATGCCCAAGCCTTGGCGTTGTTTCCTGAAAAAGAAAAATCATTATCAGTTAAAGAAAAATTATGCACCAACTTGAGCATTTCGTAACAATTTCAAATTTCCATATATTGGCTGCCTCCTCATATCATAGAGATTGGAGAGTGGGACATACCTTTGGGTTGGAGCATAGCGTGTTGGCTCGGAAGAAACCGACCAAACTCTCTAGACCCTTAAGAGTCAAATTGGTTAAATTATGGAAAGATATCATATTGGCTTCCTCCTCATGTTCCCTCCCCTGCTTCGACACAATTTCTTCCATTTCATCACATTCATCAATACTTAATTCCTTGAGTTGTACCAAGTTTCTCGCTATTGATAGTGAAAAGACATATTTTAAGACATCACAATTTCCCAAATAAAGGAATCTTAGGTTGGACAAAAAGTTATCCGGGAACTGACTAACTGACTGTATGCGAGGAAAGAGTGTCTGCTGGGTCGCACTTGTTCTATTTGCAAGATACTTGGTATTTGGACAATTATTAAGATGCAAAAGTTTCAAATCTTGAAATCCATCTTGGTCTGAATCAATGAGGACAGAGAAATTCTTAACACTGTCCAAAATCAAAATTTTAGATTTTTTCAACAGAAGTCTAACTGCTTGACTCTCCTTCAACTCCATTGCATCACTTCCATAAATCGCCAAACAATTTTCCAGTGTCATCTTCTCAGGAACTACATTGTCACATCCTAAGTGTATATAGAATTTTATTGTTGGGCTTTTCAAGACTATGTCTTTTGGCAACAAGTGGATGACACTGGGTATCTCTATGGCTAGAACCTTCAAATGATCAGACAGAGACATCACCTCAGAAATGCTTGCCATCCCCTTCTCTTCTCTTCCTGTTCCAATTTCCCATTCACCAAAGCTATCAAGCATATACAACTCTTCAAGTCTACATAAGCTGGAGAAGATACCATGTGGAATCACCTTAAGTTTCCTGCAGTTTGTCGTATCTAACAACCTTAACTGTTTAAGTCGACCAATTTCCCTCGGCAACTCATGCATGGAACGACAATCCCGAAAGCTGAGGATTTCTAAATTCTCCAAACTCCCAATAACATCAGTATACATGCCATCAAATTTAGACCCATCTAAGCACAATGTCCGCAGGTTCTTCGGTACTCCTAGTGAACTTAATGAGTCTAGGCCTTCCATTTCCACCAAAGCTAAAACCTTCAGTTCTTTCATCGCATCACAAATGATGTCCATGCCATCTTCTGAAAAACTTCCTTTTATCGTCTGTAGAAGCTCAAGTTTTGGGCATTTCAAACCAACGGGAATCTCCAATTCGCCAACAAGTGAGATTGTAGTGTAATTGTCATATGTAGCTAAATTCGGCCACCCCTTATTTTCAGCATGACATCTTACCAGAAATCGATGTGGATCTCTTGAAGCAATTGATATGGCAACATCGCGAACAATGTCATGCATTTTTGTAAACTGAACCATGTCAACCTTTTTGGTAAACTTATCCTCGCCACTATCTAGCAACAAAAACCTTCTTTTTAGTTGGTCAACCAAAGAATGCACTCTATTTCTTGCATCTTCCAAAGTAAAGCTGTTGCTAAAATATCCTCGACCCCACCCATATCGAACCAAATACTCAATTGAAATATCATGATCTTCTGGAAATAAACAACAAAGTAAAAGACATGATCTGGCTTCATCACTGTCCAATCTATCATAACTCCATTTTATGCAAGAATAAACTTTGTCATTCACTCCAGGGATGTTCACTGGGGTAGAATTTCGCAGCTGATTAAGGGCATCATCCCATTCACGCTTGTTTTCTTTTCTAGGGCTTTTCCAACAGTTACAATTGCAATAGGTAAACCTCCACATTCATGCACGACCTCTTTTGTAATGGAACGTAAATCAGGCTCATCGAAGGATTCACCTACCATTTCTCTAAAGAGCTCCTGTGATTCTTCTGTTGTTAAAATCGGGACAGCAATAATTTGTTGACTTCCCATCCTGTTGCAGACTTCCGAATCTCGTGATGTCAACAAAACTTTGCACCCTTCATGATCATCTCCACAAGGGAGTCCTATAGCCTCAAAATCAGGCTCTGTCCAGACATCATCTAATACAATCAGGATCCTCTTTATTTCCATGAGTCTCCCACGTAGCTTTAGTGCTCTTCCGGGCTCGGATTCCTCCTCAAATTTCAAACCTATTTTGTCTGCAATTTCCGACTGGATCATCCTAATACTTGGACTTTGAGACACAGTTGCCATTACAATTTTATCAAACAAGTCTAGTTTTGCCAATCTTTCGATGATTTCTTTCACCATTGTGGTTTTACCCACACCCCCCATTCCACAAATCCCGATCATTCGTACTCGTTCCCTCTTCAAACCCTCTATCACCTCATTCATGTATGCCATTCTGGACTTGAAATCCTTAAAACCTTTCTTGAATGTTGACCATATCTCTCGTGGAGGTGCAGGATGGGCCACATTTTCAAATGCTCCTTCGTTCTAGAGCTGAAGAACTTCTTGTTTAATCTTATAGGCTCTCCGACTCAAGCTCCATCGATACACACATCGCCTTTTCTTGTTAATTTCATCCTCAAACTGCAACACTTTTTTGACCATGTCGTCGTTCACATTCTTTAGCCAACTCTGAACATCAGGTTTGATGATTTCACCATTCCTTTTGGCAGCATCCACCAATCCCTGCACTCCATCTTTCTTGTCAAAAAGCTTTTTTATCTCACCCTTAAGACTTTCAAGGTTGGAATGGTAATTAATCAAATAGCCAAACTCTGTTCCTATTGGTTTGACCAAGCACTCTCCAATTTTTGAGGCAATTGCAATTATAATGTCCGTTGCCATTTCCTTCTGAAATCAAAGACTGCGGCTGGAATGCTTCTCTTTGTTGATAGCTTTGTAAGTCTCGCGCTCAGTGCTCTACTGCCGAAAACCAAACGAGCAATAAACATTAATAATCGGATATTTTTTGTTTGTTTAAATCTAGGTTGTATTTTTATTTTTATTTTAGGAAAAAAAAATGTGTGCTGATGCTTTGATAGCATTTGAATATAAGATCATCATGATGTTTAAAATATTTGAATTTTTATTTGAGTTTATCATGTTGCTGAACTTGAATTATATGAAATTGTGTGAAAATCACAACCCATAATTTTTATTTTTAGACAAAACCCACTTATATTTAAATATCTTATTAAACCCCAAAATTCAAATTGACATGTAGACAAAGAAATAACCTATTATTACAAACTATTTACAATCTATGCCAAAACACCTTAATTATCTCAATAAATATATTAATACCTACAGTATTGATGGAATCCTAAATTTCATCTCATTTCTTTCGGTTGTTTTTTTTTTTGGCAAGCATTTAAAATTCATCACGTGGGTGCATTACACTTTATAATTGTTTTTGCTAGCACTTGTTCAAAATTTCAGTTTTGTAGGCTACAATTGAAACAATATACATACATATATATATATATATATTTTATTATTATTATAAAAATATATTTCCTTATAATCTTCGTAAAAATAATATACCTATATTTTTTTTAACCAAATGACATTTGAAATCCTTTATCTTGAAACAAATTACATCCTTTATCTTCAAGTAGTAACTTTAATCGACATAAAATAATTTACCTATATCTATATCTGTGAAATATAGGTAAATTTAATCTTGAACCAAATGACATTCTTTATCTTCAAGTATTGTTAAAGCTCAAAATTTGCACACTAGCAAACAAGAATAATTAACCCCTGTTGGATTTAGGATTAAAGCTATGAAATAATGGACTTTAATGGTTTACCACTCAAAACTGTGCTATATTCACTGTGTTGCTTAGTACATATTCACTCGGAGAATACAATAAGTGCTCGGCTAATCTCACAATCGTTTGACCCCTTTAAAAGAGGTGCTCACTCCTTTATATAGGCCCTTAATGCGTCCAAACAGTGATGAGCTCACTTACTTTACTATTCTAGCGTTAAATGAGCTACGTACATAGACTAGCATGCTGAGAGCTTTATCATTCATCAGTCAACATTTGGCTATGAAGTAACATTGTTTAGTCGAGATTACATGTTTTTCTGGGCCAGTGTGTACCAAGTGACATGCTTGGCCTTGACAAGTTAACGGAGTTTTTTCCGAGTGATAGTCCGACTACCTTTACATCTCATCCTAGACTTCTGCCTTCATTGGTCACTGACATATAGCCTAATATGGTGTCTGAGTAGACCTGTTCCTAGAGCTTTGTGCCATAAAGTTCTCAGTCGGGAAAGTACTTTCTGTTGCTCTAGTCAACCCAAACTAGTGAGCGGTTAACTATAGCGCTCGATAAATGATTCTTTCTAATTCATTGGGGTTTGGATTTCCTTTCCTCCTTTGGGCCTTATCTTTCCTGGGCCTTTCTCGATCTCTTTCCCGGCCTATACTATTTTTAAGGGTCTAAAAAGATCTTGTGTTAACAAGTCCCCAACTCCTTGTTTAAAGGTTTCTTCTTGGGCATGGAGTCGAAACGGTCGATCGGACCTTAAAATAATATATGGTTCAAAGGGTAACATGGGTATTCCTCCTTCCCAAGCGCTCTGGCTCTGATAGTATGGCTACCGCTCAAATAGGCGGTCGTGACAACGGTGCCAGTAGCGTACGTGTTTGCCATTGGTTGGAGGGGTAATCGAGGCGTATGTGTAATAAAGACGTTGCAAGCAAGTGTGACCTCTTGTATAAGGAGGTAGATTCTCTGCTCACATTTTCTCATACACTTCTCATTCCCTTTTATTTGTTCGGTCACAATTAAGGTACGTCTTTTTGTCTTATTATTTATATAAAAAAATTAATATAAAATGTTGACGTGGCTTAACCGTGACCGCACAAATAGGAGATTATGAGAAGTGTATGGAAAAAGAAAGCAGAGAATCTGCCTCCTGCTATATAAACCTTACCCTTGCATTACCTTCATTTTGTAATTTGACTTCATTGTCGAAACTCTGTCGAATTTGCTCTACAATTTCTCCGTTGACCTTGAGAGCTACCTCCTCAAGCCTTTAATCTTTGTCGTTGTTTCTCCAAGTTTTCCACACTTGCATTTCTTTTTGTTTGTGAACTATTCGAAACCTTTAGATGTAATTGTAATTTTTTTCCAAGAAATTCAAATTCTTGGTTGTCGCCTGTGTGAGTAAATGTCGGCGCCGACCATCTTCGGTAAATCTAGTCTGTAGGATAAAGTAGAAATCCACATAATTGGTAGACCAACTAGCCTAAGTTGTCTAAATGAGACGAGTGCTTAATCACCTGAGTAACTACACCTTACTCTACTGTGATTCTCTTCCCTTATATTTCTGAGATCCATACACTACCTGTAAATACCGAACATACACAATGTCGACTGCTTTAAATTCAGAAAATGATGGCTGAGGCTTAAGACTACTCCTAGTTAGTCGGTAGCAATGCCGCTGATCATGACAACTTTGCTGACTCCACCAACCTGCTCAATGGTGACTTGCTAGTCTAGTTGATTGTCAACCTTTTTCACTAACCATAAAACCAACCCTTAGTCGTGGATTTTGGAGGATTCTTCTCCATCATCTGTTCCTGGAGAATAATCTACTCTTGGGTACCAAGAAAAAAAACTTGGAGCGCGATGCAGACCGAGCGGCTCTTACCGAGATGGGGGATGAACATCCATTAGATGTATCGAGTGCTAAAGGTTCTCAGTCCCCAGGCAAACATCTTTGACTTCGACAACCGGGGAAATCTCAACATCATTTATCACAAGATAATAGCAGCACTTTAAATCATTTACTCATTTATTCTTTTAACTCTCCATCCTGATATGAATCCTAGAACGCCATTGTGTTCAGTTCTGTGTCACGTCTTCCGTTAGATCCAAGCATTCTAAGTCTTTTCTCAAAGTCTCTTCCAAAGTCTTCATAGGTCTTCTTCTACTCCTTCGGTCATAGACCTGTCCCGTAATCACATCTTTTAATCGGAGCGTTAGTAAGCCTTCGTTTCACATGTCCAAACCACCGTAATGGATTTTCTCTCATGTTTTCTTCAATTTCGGCTACTCCAACTTTACCTCGGATATCCTCATCCTAATCTTATTCTTTCTCGTGTGCCCACACATCCAACGAAGCATTCTCATCTCCGCTACACCAATTTTATGTACGTGTTGATGCTTCAACGCCCAACATTTTATGCCATAAAGCATTGCCAACCTTATTGCCGTCCTATAAAATTTTTCTTTGAGCTTTAGTGGTATACAACGATCACACAACACGCCAAATGCACTCTTCCACTTCTTCCATCCAACTTGTATTCTATGGTTGAGGTCTCCATCCAATTCTCTGTTCTTTTACAAGATAAATCCTAAGTAGTGAAAGCAGTCGCTCTTTGGTACTTCCTGGTCTCCAATCTTCACCCCTAACTCATTTGAGCCTCCATTTGTATTGAACTTGCATTCCATATACTATGTCTTTAACCGACTTAGGCAAAGACCTTTATATTCCAACACTTCTCTCTAAAGGTTAAGTTTCGCATTTACTCATTCCTTAGTTACATCTATCAATATTATATCGTCTGCGAAAAACATACCCCAACAAATATCATCTTGAATATGTCTCATTAACTCATCCATTACCAATGCAAAAAGGTAAGAATTTAAAGATAAGCCTTGATGTAACCCTACAGTAATGGGGAAGCTTTCGGTTTGTCCTTCATGAGTTCTTACGACAGTTCTTGCTCAATTATACATATCTTTTTATAGCTTGGATATTGCTACTTGTACTCTTTTCTTCTCTAAAATCCTCCAAAAAATGTCTCTTGGGACCCTATTATACGTTTTTCCAAATCTATAAAGATCATATGCAAATCCTTTTTCATATCTCTATATCTTTTCATCGATCTTCGTAAGAGATAGATTACATTCATGGTTGAGCGCCTTGGCATAAACCCGCATTGGTTGTTCGAGACCCATGTCTCTTGCCTCAGTTTATGCTCAATTATCATCTCCTAGAGCTTCATTGTATGACTCATTAACTTAATATATGTCACATCCCGGCCCAGGGCGGACCACTTTCCGGACCCACTCCACCACCGTAGCACAATATTGTTTGCTTTGGGCCCCGACCACACCCTCACGGTTTTGTTTCTGAGAACTCACGAGCGACTTCCCAGTGAATCACCTATCATGAGAGTGCTCTCGCGTGCTACTCGCTTAACTTCGGAGTTCCTACGGAACCCGAAGCCAGTGAGCTCCCAAAAGGCCTCGTGCAAGCTAGGGATGAGAATATACATTCAAGGATCACTCCCCTAGACGATGTGGGATGTTACAATCGAAACCCTTAGGGGCCCGACGTCCTCGTCGGCACACTTCCGGCCAAGGATTGGCTTTGATACCATTGTCACATCCCAGCCCGGGGTGGACCACTTCCCGAGCCCGCTCTACCACCGTAGCACAATATTGTCCACTTTGGGCCCCGACCACGCCATCACGATTTTGTTTCTGGGAACTCACGAGCAACTTCCCAATAGGTCACCCATCATGGGAGTGTTCTCGCGCGCTACTCGCTTAACTTCAGAGTTCCTACTAAACCTGAAGCCAATGAGCTCACAAAAGGCCTCGTGCTAGGTAGGAATGAGAATATACATTTAAGGATCACTCCCCTGGGCGATGTGGGATGTTACGATATCCATATAGTTCATGCAATTTTGTATGTCGCCCTTATTCTTGTAGATAGGCACCAAAGAGCTCTTTCGCCACTCATTTGGCATCTTCTTCGTTTTTAAAATCCTATTGAAAAGGTCTATGAGCCATGTTATACCCGTCTCTCTCAAGACTTTCCACACTTCAATCGGTATATCATCTGGGACCATTGTTTTTCTATGCTTCATCTTTTTCAAAGCTACAACCACTTATTCCTTCTTAATTCGGCGGTAAAATGAGTAGTTTCTACTCTTCTGAGTTATTCAACTCCCCCAAAGAAGTACTCATTTCATGTCTTTCATTGAAAAGATTATGAAAATAACCACTCCATCAGTCTTTGACCGTGTTCTCTGTAGCAAGAACTTTTCCATTCTTATCATTGATGCACCTTACTTGGTTTCGGTCTCGTCTTCTTTTCTCTTGCTCTAGCTAGTTTATAGATATCTAACTCTCATTTGGTATATAGTTGCTTATACATATCGTCAAAAGCTACTAGTTTCGCTTCTCTCACAGCTTTCTTCGCCTCATTCTTCGTTATTTTATACCTTTCGCCGTTTTCATCGGTCCTATCCTTGTATAAGACTTTACAACATTCATTCTTAGCTTTAACCTTTGTTTCTACCTCTTCATTCCACCATCAAGATTCCTTTTGGTGTGGAGCAAAGTCCTTGGACTTTCCTAATACCCCTTTTGCTACTTTTCGGATACAACTAGCCATAGAATCCCACATTTGGCTAGCTTCCCCCTCTTTACCCCACACGCATAAGGTGATTATTTTCTTTTTGAAAATGGCTTGTTTTTCTCCTTTTAGATTTCACCATCTAGTCCTTGGGCACTTCAAGGTCTTGTTCTTTTTTCTCTCTTCTGATATGTACATCAATCACCAACAAGCGATATTGATTAGCCAAGCTCTCTCCTGGTATAACTTTGCAATCCTTGCAAGTTATACGATCCTCCTTCCTCATTAGAAGAAAATCTATTTGTGTTTTTGACGACCCACTCTTGTAGGTGATCACATGTTCTTCTCTCTTCTTAAAGAAGGTGTTGGCTAAGAAGAGATCGTATGCCATTGCAAAATCCAAGATGGCTTTCCTATCCTAGTTTCTCTCCCCAAAACCATGGCCTGTCTCATTGCCCACGTGTCCATTTAAATCTCCTCAATCTGAGCGATTCCTTGTACCAAGTCTCCAAGATCTTCCCAAAATTTCTCCTTCAATCTCGTATCCAACCCTGCTTGAGGTGCATACACGCTAATCACATTGATGAGTTCTTGTCCTATTACAATTTGATTGCCATAATTCTATTTCCTACCCTCTTGATGTTTACATCATCTTGTGTCAAGGTCTTGTCCACGATGATGCCAACATCATTTCTCGTTCTATTTGTGCCCAAATGCAAAAGTTTAAAACCTGAGTTTTCGAGATCCTTTGCCTTAAGACCAACCTACTTAGTTTCTTGTAGACATATAATACTTATCCTTCTCCTCACCATAACTTCCACTACTTCCACAGATTTTCCCGTTAAGGTTCCTATATTCCACGTTCCTAAACGCATTTTACTCTCTTGAACTCTACCCTCATGCCCTAGCTTCTTCACCATCCCCCGTCCAATAAGGTCAAAGTTGATAGGAGCAGATGCTTCCAAACAACTTTGAGTGGAGTCGTTCAAAAAGAAGTTTATATGGCCTCCTTACTCATTTAACACTGCATCCGAGCGTTGATGAAGATACGACGACCCTTGCTCACTTATTAATATGCTCGGGCCACAGCGCGCCACTTACGGGTAATGACCTAACTTTAGTGCAATTTGGTTCAGGATTCATTATCATAAGAATTTGACGTAAAATAGGAGTGCCGGCTATCAATTACCTGATGTCCTCCCCCTCCTCTTTTATCCGGGCTTGGGACTGGCAATGTAAGATAAACTTACACATGCGGAGTTTTCGGAGTACAAGACTCGAAAAAAAAAGAAGATGAGTTTAGGGACCTACACAAGGCAAAACATCGGTAGCTAAGTACCATCGGAAGTTTAACGATCTGTCATGCTATTGTCCAACAATCGCTACTAACCATTCAAAGAGGCTCCACCAGTTCAAATAACAGATCCGCAAGCAGTTTTGTTTCTTGGCAGCACCTATATCATGTACCACATACAAGGAATTCTACAAGGCTTTACTTTGCATTGAGAATTTCGATAATGTCTCGAGTGACAATGTTGGTGATGAGAGTGGTAGCACTCAACAGAAGAACACTAGTGTTCTTTTTATCCACAACAGAACCAATGTTTCAAAAAATAAAAACAACTATAATTTCACATCTTCTAATGGATAATCAAGTTCCAGTAAACTCGATTTTGGAAGTATATCCAACAGCTTCTAAATTTCGCCCTTAGGGTAATTCCAGTAACACCAGTACAATAATTGCTTCCAATACAACACCCATCATTACGACAAGTATAGGAAGGGAGTAAAGGTTGTCATATATGCGGTCAGCAAGAATATTGGGCCAACAAGTGTGCCCCAAAACAACGAAAGTAGCTCACAAGAGCAGTTCTCTATCAACCAAACTTACTCATGGGAAGCCAACCTGCTATGATGGTGTTGCGTTATCCACTACCAGGACACGGTATGGTTCCTTATACTAGAAATACTATGCAGTAACAAGAAGTCATGCCTTAGGACCAGGATATAGGTGGTATGGAGTTGGACAGTACTAGAATACCAGATAAGCGTCAGGTAGCAGCGTAGAGGCATAAAAGGCACATGAGAGGTCTGTATGCATACTTGTTCTTCGAGTAAGATCTTGTATAATATGATTTTTTAGGGACAAAATTTCTTTAAAGAGGTAGATTGTTACATCCTATCCTTTGTATTTTATTCTTTGACATTATAAAATTACGAAAATACCCTTGACAGGCTAAGTGAAAATTCTATGTTGACATTTGAGTTCTTTTCACTTTTGTCCATGTTCTGTCGTTATGAGATAGTACTCGTCCTTACTAAAGAGTTGCACATGTTTCACGACGATGGGCAAAATGGTTATTTTGCACCCTCAAGACTTCACAACTTGTTTTCAAGTACGCTGTTAGTATCGTTGGTTGCAGACTGTGACAATGATGGTTTGCTCGCTAGACTTGTTAAACAAGTGGGCAAGTTGGTCCATATGTTTTATTATTTTCTAATTTGGCATAATGCCTAATTAGTTTATTTTTTGGGGTTGACCTAAACACACACACAAGTGAATAGACCCATCCTTTTAGCATATCCTCGTAGTGCTCGTTATTACGAATGCGTGGACGCAAGTGGAACTGATTTCGGACTTACGATGAAGTTTCTACAATAAAATAAGAACATTAAGGGCAATTTGGAGCCTAGTTATTAAGTTTTTGTTAGGAGAATATACTATGGTGGGTTTTGGTTAAAGAAAATCGAACTTTGAGGGCAATATTTTCAATTGATCGTTTTAGTGCATGTGTATATTTATTTTATTATTATTATTATTTTACAGTATGCAAATTTTGAATAGTTTACATTTCATCATTGCATAGCAGAACGGTTTCAAACTTTTTGTATTGCATGATAAAAATAACACATGCATTTGTATGGTCCCCAAACTCACTGTCACATGATATTTTATTTGTTTATTTCTGCTAGCTACCCCAATCCATTTTTTTTTGGAAACTTTAACGAAAAGCTCCCGGTACTGTTCACTTTAACGAAAAACCACATTTTTACACTAAAAAGTCAATCCTGGTACTATTCACTTTACCCTTTATTTTGTCCTTATCATTAAAACTCAAAGTTTTCAAGCCCTTTTCATTAGTTTTCTTTTTTTTTTTGTTTAGAAAACAATAAAATTTGATTATAAGGGGATTAGCTCACTTTTAGTTGATTATTTTTTAATACATGATGGTTTCCTTAGGTTTGTTAGTATTGAAGCTCAGCTGAAATACAGTATTTGGTGGGCACTAAAATGTAAAACCAACACTTTTATTTCTTAGTCAGGCAGAGTAAAAACAAACGTCTAAAACAACAAATATTTGAAAGAAATAGTTTTCGAGAAATATGTAGTACCTGTATTGTAAGTCAACACGATACAACTGTCCAGAGTAAAAGTGAAATTATGAAATTTATGTCTTGTTCAGCAACAAATCATATGTCTGGAATTAGTAATGGTGCTTCATGAACTTTGACAGACCCCAACTGAAGTCAAAGTGTACTAGCGGACACCTGAAAAGTGACAAAAATCATAAAGTATAGATGATGAGCAAAAATTTGAATAAATAAAACCAAAGCTTATAAGTCATTTAAACTAGTAGTGAGGGTGCACTGTGCAAAATGTACCCCTTATTCGCATTCTAGGTGGGAAAGATAATTTTACAAACTACAAGATTAGGAATTACTACATTGATTGGCGTGGATGTCAGAACTTGGGGAATATCTCACCAGGTTAATTAAAAAATTCAAATACTTGGTGCTTTATAATTTATTAGCAGTTGGTAAAAAATAAAAAGTTACTAGTTATGATCACATTAAGTATGACATTCCCTAGTTTAAGTTAGATATGTGATGTTACCCTTCTTGAACATTATTTTTTTAATATGATCGACACATAAAATGATACAATACGTGTCATTATACAAATTAAAAAATATTTGTGTTAAACAGTTAAGAATAAAATTTCTATCACTTCCGTAAAAACACTTTCCACCGTCTGTGTTCCATCATAATGAAAAATTCTTTTACCGGATAAGATTTTAAAGGAACTTCATTTCATATTTTTTCTTTCTGTTCAGGCCACTCTCACAAGTTTCTGTGTTTTGAATGATATGCAATTACGTATTTAGTTGTTTTAGAACTGCGTTTTTTCATTTACTTTTCACCAGATTCCGGTCGCTGGTCGCCGGATTATGCAGTTTCTCGCCGGTTTTCTGGGAAATTTTTAAATCATCATAACTTCCGCATATCTTAACGAAGTTGAGTGATTCAGAATGGAAATGATACCTCAGAATGAGATGAACAGATTGGTACCCATAGCAATGGCTAACTCGCCATGATTTAGCCAAAAACAGGACGGAAGGAACCTGAAATCGACGGAAACTGGGGAGAATTTCAAAAGGTCATAACTTGCTCATTTCTCAACCATTTTACGCTCTTTACATGGAAATGAAGCACAAGGAACAAGTTTATACCTCTTGGAACTCCAAAAAGTAGACGTAAATGTACTGAAATTGGCCAGAAAGTCTCGGCCAAAAACCCAAAGCTTCGAAACCGTGTGTTTTCGAGTTGGGGATTGCCTCAAACTTGACCCAGGGACGTTAGGGAGTTGTGTGGTGGCTTCCAACTCTTCCAAAACGGTGTGGAGTGGTCGGAAAAGTGTCGGGAACTTCGTCGGGAAGTTTCTTTCTCGTCGGAGCTTCGAGCTAGAGCTTCTAGTCTCTGTTTCCTACGAAACGGAGCTCGGGTTCGAACTCGCGAGGTCAAGAGGGTGGGATGTGGTGGTGGTTTGAGCGTTGATTCGTCAAGGTTTGGTGACTTTCGCTGCGTTACAAAGAAAAGAGAGGACGGGAGAGTTTGAGAGGTAGAAAGAGAGGGTTTAGCGAGTGAGAGAGATGTTACTGGGAGGAGAAACCCTGAGAGAAAGGGAGAAAAAGCAGAGTGATTGATTGGTGGGGTGGGTGGCTTTCCGTAAAGGAAAAGCCTGATCTAACGGAAGAAAAATCGCACAACAGGACAAATTTTCAAAAGCCAATAGATAATTTCTCCAACAGTGTCTGCCGACTCTTTCTTACGTGCACACATGTGCGAATTTACACAAGTGTACAAATTTATTGCTTGTTATCGATCATTAAATCGTTATAAGTTTGATTTTGGTCTAGGTTTTTTTATGAAAAACTAATTAAAAAGTTTTGAAAACTTTGAGTTTTAACGGATAAAATAAAGGGTAAAATAAATAGTACCAGAATTGATTTTTTAATGTAAAAATATGATTTTTCGTTAAAATGAATAGTACTGAGAACTTTTCATTAAAGTTCATTTTTTTTTATGCTTTCATGACGGTCCAAATATGGTAAGAAATGAGACGAATTAAGCATTGGCTCAAAATTCCATTAAACCCAACAAGATTAGTTTTGTCATTTTGTATTCTCTTTAACAAGAAAAAGACAAAAGTGAAAGAGAAATGGATGCATTGCTTACGAACCCCAAATTTTCAAACGACAATACATGTCTCGAGCCATCCTCACTCTCTCGTGGCATTACAATTTTATATCATTTCACGGTAGAAGCATCGCAATTAGAGTTGCATATTTTTTTATCATTGTGTAAAAATATCTCAAAAAAAAAGTTATTCTTTTGTTTTCGGTCAAACAACTAATCTTATTAAAGATAAAACAAATTAAACTATAGTTTGTTAAAAGCACACTAAAGTAAAGTTGCAGTCATTTTCAAAAGTAAAGTAAAGAAACAAGCCCAAAAGTAAGGTAAATTTATTCATTTTGAGATTGTTAGTCATGCAAATTGAATGAACAATTTTAAAATAGTGATACTATCAACGCATTTATTTTTACTTTTAACACATCTTTACTAATTTTTATCCTTTAAAATAATGTTTTTTAGCCAAAATTAAAACTACATAAGTAAATGCATCAAATTAACAATGCAACTGCTACAATTTTACTCTTTGCATAACTCAATACATTCAACGCACACATTCTCGCATGGGATTTGCTCTCGTGACTCACTCATAAAGTGATATTTTACACTAATTTAATTATACACAACTAGGAATGAGCAAATACCCATTGGTTAAGGGTAACCGTGGTTACCCGCCCATTTAAATTAAACGATTATGGTTATGACTAACCGTTTAGATAATAAACGGTTATGGGTATAACCGTTTACCCGCGAAATTTAAATGGACGGTTATGGGTATTAACCGTGGTTATAAACCGGTAACCGTTTACCCATTTATTTTATATATGTAAAACTAACACAAACCAAGTTCTTGATCCAATAATACTTAGCACCCAATAAATTAGCAAGGAATTCATCGGTCTTTTTATCAATAACACTGCTACAGGAATGATGATTCTCATCATCAAGGAATTCTCCAAATTAATTTAAATTATTTGTGGGTAACCGTGAAATTGACATAAATGCTTTGACAGAAATGTCTTCTAAACAATTTTTGTAACCCAATAATACTTGGCAAATATTATATTTACTTTCATTGGTAACAGTTAAAAATATCATCCGTAAATTATTATTTCAATTATTGGAATGGTATAAGGACTTAAAAAATTAAAATACGGAAATGTATGATGAATGTACCTATAACGGTGTTTAATTGTCAAAAAAAAAAATTATGACATTTTTTTTTAAAATTTCAAGTTGTTAAAAAACATGTAAACGGGTGAAAAATGGATGATGGTAAAAAAAAAGACAAACGGGTTAAAAATGGTAAATGGGTAAATGGGTATTAAACGGTTACGGTTAAATAGGTATGCAGTTATGGGTATGGTTAACCATTTATAAATGTTTATGGGTATGGGTATAACCGTTTAGGCAATTACCCAACGGATAAACGGTTATGCGGGTATGAGCAAAAATAGTTATGGGTAAATAACTGCGGTTATCTGCCTGTCATAACCGTTGCCCATCCCTATACGCAACATCCAATTTGACATTACATATGATATTAATCTCAGCTAAAAGCATCAGAAACACACACCTATCTCACATATTTAAATCATACAAATAGACAAACTTTTCACATTCTCACACGAAACAAAAGCGTGATTTAACGGAAGAAAAATCTCACAACATGACAAATTTTTAAAAGCTAACAGATACTTTAAATAAATAATGAAGTCTTTATGTACTGTGTGATGTAAGAGTGGTGGTTGTTATCATTCAATCAATAATGATCCATTTTAGATGGATAAAGCATCTGATACAAAGTGACGAAAAAAGAATGGGGCCCGTTATTTGTGCGTGCAAGCTGGAAAAAGAATAAAATATTTAAAATCATTTATATGTGTAGTGAACGATTATGATGAATTGATATTTTCCGCAATACGCAAATAAGGATTCGGAAAGGATAATGGTTACAGTTTCTCACATGCACACTCTGTGAATTTCACACAATTTTGTGTACATATTTACCCGTTTATTAACAAGTGTAGTTTCTTTGTTACAAATCTAATTTGGGTCTAGTTAGCGCTCACACGTTAGTAACGATGAGTACTATCTCGATATACTACGAAATGAGACAAATTAAGCACTGGCTCAAACGTCCACGTATCAGCTGAACCCAACAGAGGCATTTTAGTCAATTCTCACTTTCAAAATTAAAATTTGATAAAGTTGGAACGGGTTGTCACAAACTTGTTAGAGAATTTGAATGTTGAATGCTATCAAGGACAAGGACATATTATGTTTTTTTTTTGGAAATAAGGACATATTATGTTACCTCACCAATTAGAATACACATTTTGGTTTGGTGCATCATTTCAGTGTAAATTAGATAACCAAAAGGATTCAGTTCAGTTTAGTTTCAAACTTTAGCTTGGTGCATCATTTTGCCAAATTAGCAACTGAAGTAAAGAGACAATAGATTTCAGAATGATCATTTGCCATCTCTACAAGTGTAGAATGAAGATTGTGAGCAAACTAATCAACGTAAAACGCACACTCATTCTCCTTCAATTCAATTGTAATTCAATTCAACTGTATAGCTCTATAATTTTCCGATACAAAACGACATATAATGCCAAATACTAACTGCAAAATGCAACCTATGGTCATCCATTCAAGTACATTACTTCTCGACACTAACCTGTAACTCTAATGTTCTGCAGTCATTTTTCTTGAGCAAGCGGTCATCATCGAACCTGTTAAAATTAAAGGGATGGGATGCAAAGACATATCTATACTAACAATATTTTAACTAAATAAGGAAAAATAAAACTGAAGCCCATTCTACGACAACAAATCAGCATTATTTGATAATATATCCATTAGTTACAATAATATTTGCCATGGATGAGTTTTCATATTTTGAAATCGTTGCTTAATAACTTCATGTTTGATATCATCGAGAATGTCTTTCTCAATATAGGCAATTCAACAATCATCTGTCCCTTGATCTTCCATTTGATTGAGTAATCAATTCTTCACAATCCTCATAGCACAAAACGCCCTCTACACTGGGAGATGCAACTAGTAACATGAGTGCCAATGTCAACATCAAGTAAACTAATGGGTAAACAGTTTCTTATTTTGTCTCAACCATTTTTTGTGCAAGATTCGCAATCCCATTCAATCCTAAAAACTCAATGCTGGAGCGCATGTCCATAATGTGCATCTTAAGCTGATTTTCAAGTATCGTCAAGTGTCAAAAAGCTCCTTAAAAAAACAATATCATCAAGTCAAGTGCCGAAAAGCCATTCAGGTATACTGAGCAAGCCGAATCAACTTTTGTTTGTCAAAAGCAGAGAACGAATATCACCTGGATTCACACAAAGAAGCAACTCAATATTCGTCTCAGCAAAACGAATATTTAGCTCTTGAAGTTGCATATCAATAACATTACAAAACATTTCAACGTGATAATGATGCATACAAGTCCCCGCTGAAGTTATTTTATCCCTATAGTTTGAAAGATGTCATTCATGTTAGGAACTTTAATCTGATGTTTGTCACATACAGAAAAAAAACCTGAGTGAGTAAAGAATCAACCACTTTTTGAGCTCTTCTTTACATATGCTAAGTTAATGATTAAGTTAATGGCGTGTGGGAATTTTGACAAGGAAGATCACTCAGAGGATGGTTCTAATGGAATTCATACTTGTTTTCATTCCCTTCATGATTTTGTTGGTTTTTCGAACTCACGCTGAAATATAAGAACACACAATCTTTTAGAAACAAAAAAAACTCGAATTCACGTAAGAATGCAAAGATGCGCAACTTTTATATTACCATGATAAAAGGCGACCTTTATTAGATCTGCTAACATGATGGTACATGCCATTTCACATGTGGTTGCCACCACTTTCTTTTCTTTTTCTTTTCTTTTTCTTTTCTTTTTCTTTTCTTCACGTGGCCACTGGCCACACACCTCACTTTTTCATTCCACCCCTTTTTTTATTTTCTTCCACTTTTTCTTCACATTTTTTTATTTGTCTGCCACAATCTCATCACTTTTTTACTTCTGTATTGTATGCCAGGCACCACCATTTTTTTTTTTCTCTTTCTTTAACCTCTTTCTTTTTCTTTTCTGTCTCAACTTTTACTTTGAAAGAAGATCGTGGTCGGATTTTTTTTTAAAGAATTTTGATACTTCTTTAATTATATTCGTTTATAATATATCGCACGATTAATTTTTATTTGGTATTGTTTATATTTAATTTTAAATAAAAATAATTAAAATAATTTTTAACATATATACGATAAATGGATATGATTAAAGAATCTTTAGAATCTTTACGAGGAGAATTCTACGAAAATCCTCATTCATCTTTTTTTTCTCTTTGTTTTCTCTTTGTTTTCTTTCGTCTTTCTTCTGCCTTTTCTTCACGTGGACTCCCCCTTTCCTTTTCCTTCATTTCTTTCTGCAATTCCACCATCACCTTCTTTTGCTTTATTTTTTTTTTTCTCTTCTTTACTTTCCATGTTTTCTGTCTGGCAGTGGCACCAAGGCTGAAAGGACCCTTTTGTATATATCCAACCAGCTCGCATGGGTAGCAAGTGCTTCTTTATCACAAATAGTAAAAAAATGTTATGGTACTCTATTTGAATTTAATTTTTTAAACTCAAAAATAATTTTTAAGTTTTATGCCTTAAAAACTTGTTTTGTAAGACTATTTTTAAAAACTGAATTCAATACTAACTAAAAAATATAGTATATTATCTAAAAACATAAAAAGTGAGTTTTTAGAGTTTTTAAACTTAAACTCACTCATTTTTTTTCTCTTCCTTCTCCTCTCTCACTTCAAACCTATCTCTCTCTCTTTTCTTCTTTCTTTCTCCTTTTTTTTTGTAACCTTTTTCGTCTCTCCTCCAATCAGCTCCTTTTATTTTCTTGGTTCTTTCTCTCACTCATCTTCCTCGTTATCTCGTCCAATCCTCTCTCTTCTTTCTCTTGCCTTCACTCCTCTCTTACTTTCTTTCATTCTCTCTCCTTTTTCTTCCTCTCATGCGACCCCCTATTTTTAGATCTATTTATCTAGTTTAAGTCATAAGATTTAAAAAATTTAAATCGCAAACCAATCAAGTTTTTGAGTCTTAAAGAAAATTGTTTTCAAGAAATGTTCTTAAGAAATGTTTTGAGAAATAATAAAATTTTCAAATAAGATACCAAACAGATCCTTAAATCTTTGTATGATTGATAGAGAATAATTCGTCTGTGACTAATCATTCATCGGTGTGATTAACCACTTTATCATAATGGTAGAAAAATGTTAAACTTTTGCATGACGTTATGAGTCCGAACCTATTGATAGCTAATCACCCATTGATGACTAATTTAACAAAATTTATTATTTGACCAAAAAACATAATATTCGACGCCACAGCTCGAATCCACCGTCAAGACAATCTCCGACACGCCGTCTCCATACGCTAGCTTCCGATCTCAGAAGTGGGTTGTCGTTTCCGTGGCTGTCGGAGGGTCACCAAAAATTTGTAGTATGTAGTCATAATGAAATTACAAGAGAAGGCAAAAATCGTATAGAAATTTTGTATGGAAATCTTATGGAGAAAAACAAAAACAAGAATTCACAATCTTCAATCTCCAATACATTTCCTCCATCAGAGTTGAGGTTACCGGGAGGTTTTCCCCAGTTTTCCTCCAATGCAGACCACGGATGGACACGGTTTGGTTATGTGCGGTTTTAAAGTGAAACTGAATTTTTTGCCAGTTCGGTTCGGTGTGAATTTGAAGCTTGAACGAATCAAGATAAAACCAAACCATTTGGTTGCGATTTAGTTCGGTTTCAAACGGTTTTAATTTCGGTTTCAAACCATTTGCAAACTAGGATGTTGTAACAACTAGAGGCAGACCCACATGAGCACCTGTCTCGGCATCAACGACACAAACTGTATAGATTTCATTTCCTTTGGTGTCTTCTGAATATGCCACCAATTTGTTGTGTGGACAAACCTGAAGAAGGATTAAGAAAATGAATTTGAAATGTTGGTGTTATGATCCCACATCGACTACACTTATGGGGTGTAGGGGTTCTTAAGTCCTTGGTGTCCTCCCACCTATTGGACTAGTCTTTTGGGTTGGGCTCTTCCCTTGGGCTTGAGTACCTAACATTGGTATCAGAGCCTAGGTTCCCGACGCTGCGGAGGGGGTGACCTGGAAAGGGCTACCTTAACGGGATGACCAAAGGGTGCACTGCCGTTAAGAGTGAAAGCCATCAGAGTAAGGGCCGCCGTGGGCGTCGGCTTCCGAAGGGTGGTGTAATGTTATGATCCCACATCGACTACACTTATGGGGGTGTAGGGGTTCTTAAGTCCTTGGGGTCCTCCCACCTATTGGACTAGTCTTTTGGGTTGGGCTCTTCCCTTGGGCTTGAGTACCTAACAGTTGGGATCGTCATCATATAAACCACTGCATTGTAATGTTGGTGTACCACTCATCCAAGATTTACATGCTGCGGCGGAGCATCAGGTCCGGTGGGCATGCTATCATACACAGAGCGGAGGTTCGGCGTCACCCTTGCGGCTTTTGGTTTTGGGCATTATGCGGAACGTACTCTATGCCTTTTCGTTCAGGTATTTTGGCAATGTGATTCAGTTTCGGCTTGATTTCAGATGTTCAAAAGCAAAACCAACCTGTTTTTTCATGCTACAGTTCAGATTCAAACCGAAGTCGTTTTAAAACCGTAAAAATCTCCGTGTTTTGATTTCGATTTTCGTTTACACTAGTAAATTGGCCCACGCGATACTGCGGGACTTAAATGCATCAGCCTTAACTACATGAATATGACACATTTAACCTGGAAAAAAATTCTACATAATCATGAATGAGCAAAGGGATAGATAAATGAACGGTGTCGGTAATATAATTCACCTCTCCTTCGAGCTTTTCGATTACAAATATATAATTGAACAGTCCATTTCGAATCATATATACATAGGCAGAAATGCAAAAACTAAACTCCCACCACATAAATTAATCAGTAACCAAACAAAGCAAAATTCTTGGAGACCAGAACAAACCCAATTGAATTTTCATGCAAGTTATTGTAATTGAAAAATAAAACATATATTTAAGTGCCCAAAATTTAAGCTTTACACCATATTTTGTTCTTCTAACACACACAGTTCTTTGGCCTTTAGGTAGTTTTTGTGGCTTTCGATCAAAAGTTTGTACTTGTATACAAAAAGTAAAATAGTCGATTGTAGACATTGTATTGCATAATATGCCTACTTCATATAATTGCTAATAAAGGAACAATTCCTTTCTTTACTGACATTAAAAGGAACATCAATTCCATATAATGTCCATTGCTTTCATTCTCAAGCACGCACCATAAATAAACTAACGAAGGATTCAAAACTTCAATGAACTTTATATTTACTAATTGCTATAACTCAAAAGCATGGAATTGTCTTCAACTTTTTTCTCAATCCTCTATACAACCAATCATAACAAAAGAAGGAAAAGGATGATGCTTACCTATTTATCGTTGATCACATGCATCTCTTTGATTAGTCTATTATCTCCCCATGCTTCTCAAATTACTGAACGAAGGTATCTATGACCAGATAATACAACAGACACACCGCACAAAGATATAAGCAAAATTTGATGAAAACCCACCAATATTCCAAAGCATAACAAAGTTAGAAGCCGTTAACAAAGTCCATTGAGCATCAAAATTCACCAAAATTCATATCAATTGTTGTTAAAATCTTAAAACCCCAATCCCATGATATTTTAAATTCAAAAAAATTCTGGGCAGCAAAACACTATCAAACTAACATGATTGAAGAAATTACTAATAAAAACAAGCGGGGAAAATTATAGAACTTGGGTATTGCCTAAAACCCCATCATGTTCTCAGTTCCAAATTTTTATGGGCATTAAAAATAAAGCTTATGGAATGAAGAGTAATATTATTACCTTTGCCAGACACAAAGTGGCCGTAAAGGAAACTCAATTAAACCCACGTTCCAATTCAAGCAAACTCAACAACTTCACCACAAATTAGATCAACAAAAAAGAGAAATAGGAGAAAAACCCAAATACAATGGGGGGAGAGAGAGAGAGAGAGAGAAATTTGAAAGCGTGAGTGAACCCGCGGCTCCCCACTGCTTCAAAAGGATAATACAATTCTGCAAATAAATAAAAAATTGAATTTAAAAGAGGTACTACAATTTCTGGCAATGAATGCTTGGAGAGAAAAGCTTTACCTTTCACTCGCTTTTGATTCCTGTAGCCACAACAGACACATCGCTTGTGACAGTTTCAAAGGGAATTGCAAATTCAAAATTCAACAATCTAAACCATAACTAACTCACAATTTAGTTCCATCAATATGATAGACCTACCAGACTGTCAACAGGCCAACAAAAGTCAACATAAACCCTCTATAGAAATAGCCCAATGGTAGGATTATGTAGTCCGACTGTGCTGAACTAAATAAGACAAAATTCAAGTGATCAAAGCTAATCCAGAGCTTTCTCCGCTCCCAAACACAGCAAGAATCAGAACGTGCGTCGTCAATTTCAAGAAATTTACAGAAAGAAAGAAAGAAAGAAAGGGATAGAGTAGTACAAACCTCAGATTAACTGGCCTCAATCCTCTGGATTCCCTCATTATCGCAGCAGAAATCAACAAAAGCATATACATAAAGACATTTTATCAGCTACTGGTTGGAACACCTTTATTACCTGCCATAAACAGAGAGACAATTCGATATAGGAATCTCATTCCACAAAACTTCTTCAGTCCGGGCCTAAACAACTGCAAGCAAAAAAATCCCGAGGATACATACTTTCATCCAAATCATCCACCGCCATTAACAAAACCACACCCTATATCTTCCTTCAACTAAGATTAAAACAAAAACTGAAACCCTAATCATTTCGAAACATACTTTTGGAATCAGAATAGAAAGGAAACATGAAATTAGATGATCATACAAAATTGGGCCGGGGATTGGACTTGTGCTCAAAATTGACCTCTTCCTCTTCAGATTGATCGCCGAACCTGGTGCCGCTTCTCTTCCCCCCATTGTGTGTTACGACCAGATCCCTCTTAAGAAAGGGATTAAATTAGGAGGTAAACCCACAAATTCCTAATCACAAAATTCCTATTTAATCAAGTTACCAAGGTCCTAAATTCTCAATTACAAAAAATCACACTGATCAAATAATTAGTTTCAGCAACCCACACATATTTTAAAAAAAATTTACAAATTTCTACGAAAAAAGGGACGGTGGTTTCTCCACCTTTAATCATGTGACATCTTAAGCATATTTACTCCAGACAAAAACAAAAAACAAAAAACAAAAAACAAAAGCATAAAGTAAACATACCCAACAGCAAACTGAAGATTTAGCCCTAGAAAGCTTTGCTGAACCCCTACCAACAAAATTTGTGAGAGCAAAGCAACTATCTAATACATGAAACTATGATTAGCAGATGAATTAAAATTAATGAAAATCCAAATCATTCAAAACCATTTCCATCCCAAATGCAATCGATTAACAGACACATCTACTTGGAATTTTAAAGTTGGGATTTATAAACCAAGGGCTAAGTAAAGAGTCACATATATAGTTTGTTGTATTTTGGTTACAAGTCTGTTACAACTGTCTATGTAACTAATCACTAGATTAGTCAGTTAACCAAGGGTAATTAGTCGCTAAACTATTTCTCACAAATGTATATAAACCAGTTGTAATTCCTTATTCATTAAGAAATGAAAATACCAGAGTTATTTCTAATATGGTATCACTCGCCTCTCTGCTCACGCACCGATCCTAGCTTCCTCTGCAATCTTTGATTTTTCTTCCCAATTTCGTTTTCTCTCTGCAAATCCTTGATCGACAATGGCGTCTTCTACCTCTTCGCCTGCAAATCCAGAAGTTTTCGCTCAGAATCCTACTCCCATTTCCTCAAATTCAGCTCCGATAAACCCTAATTCTTCGATTTCCTCAATTCCAATCCAAAACATCAGTTGTATGGTTCCTACAAAGCTTAAGAAGGACAATTATCTTGCCTGGAAAGCTCTTTTCGCTCCAATTTTCCGGCGCTACAAACTTACAGGTATCATCGATGGATCGGAGAAATGTCCATCGCCCTTTCTTCTCAATCAAAACGGTATTGGTACTGCTGTTCCTAATCCTGATTACGAGATCTGGTTTGAAAAGGATCAAAATATCCTGATCTGGTTGAATTCCACTCTCTCTGAAGATCTTATTCCGTTCACCGTTGGCGTCACCTCATCTCGAGAATTATGGCAGATTCTTGAACAACAGTTTGGCGGAGTCTCGGCGGCGCACATTCACCAGCTCTGATCGCGTCTTCATGCGATTCAAAAAGGTGATTTGTCAATTTCTGATTATCTGCAGCGTATCAAATGCATCTCTGATGCTCTTATGGCTGCCGGAGCCCTGGTGTCGGAACCAGATCTCATTGTTGTTACACTAAATGACCTCTCGGATGATTACGAATCTTTCATTGATTCGATAATGCTTTGCATTTCATCTACTTCTTTAGATGAACTTCACGGCTTACTCATGAACAAAGAGATCTTTATGCATCGCAAGAAGAAAGCTCATTCGTCGTCTCTCACTGAACCATTTCAAGCATTTGCTGCTCAAGCTTTGCCTCTCCAGCAAGGTCTCTTACCTACGCCTCCTCCCTCCCAGGCATATGTTGTTCCATATTCTACCTACAACAATCGCAACAATTTTCAGCGCAATAATCGTGGCCGAAGCAATTTTCAGAAGAACAACAGAGGTCGAGGCAACTATCGTGGACATTATACTAACTCTGGCCCTGGTAATGGTTCCTTTCATCATAATACTAGTCATTATAATCGCCACTCTGGTGGCTTTAATCGGTCTTCTGGAACTCGGTCTCCCTGTCAAATATGCAATTCTTTTGATCATGAGGCTCTTGACTGCTATGCTCGCATGAATCATGCCTTTGCTGGAAAGATTCCACCTGCCAAGCTTGCTGCTATGTGTGCTTCTACTGCCTCTTCTTCTCAGCCTACATGGCTTCTGGACTCTGGTGCTACTGCTCATGTTACCAATGATATCTCCGCTATCACTTCCCCCATTCTGTACTCTGGTGACGACAAGGTTTATGCTGGTGATGGCCAAGGTATGCCCATCCACCATACAGGTTCTTCTATTCTCCAAACACCACATGCTGCCTTTCGATTAAATAATGTTCTTCATGTGCCAATGATGCAATTCAATTTGCTCTCTGCATATCAGTTTCTAAGAGACAATTATTGCTCTTTAACTCTTGATTCTGATGGTTCTGTCATCAAGGACCGTTCCACTGGGAAGATGCTTTTTCGAGGCCCAGTTAGGGATGGTTTCCATCCTCTGCATGGTCAGCCATTCCAAGCTTCATATTCTGCACTTGTAAGCACTCAAGCATCTTTACAACAATGGCACAAACGACTCGGTCATCCTTCCATAGCCATTCTCCGAAGGATTTTACATACAAATAAGCTTGTTCCTCATACTTCAGCTTCTGTTCAGTTTTTTTGTGCAGACTGTGCTATTGGCAAAAATCATAAGCTGCCCTTTTCTTTTAGTACTACCACTGTATCCCATAGTTTGGATTTAATTCATTGTGATGTCTGGGGTCCCTGTCCAGTTTCATCAATTAGTGGCTATAAGTACTATGTACTCTTTGTGGATGAGTATAGCAAATACAGTTGGATGTTTCCTTTACAACACAAGTCTGAAGTCTTCTATACTTTTGTCATTTTCAAAGCATATGTTGAAAACTTACTTGGCCATAAAATCAAGATTCTTCGCACAGATTCAGGGGGTAAGTTCACTGGTTCTGCTTTTGCTTCATTCTTGCTTCAACATGGTATTTCTCATCAATACAGTTGTCCCCACACACCTGAGCAAAATGGGTGTGTGGAACGCAAGCATAGACATCTTACTGAAACTGCTCGGACACTTCTTGTTGCTTCCAAAGTTCCTCACAAGTTTTGGGTAGAAGCCTTTTTTACTGCATTGTATTTCTTATCAAATCAGATCAATCAGATACCTCTTAATTTCATTTTCTTTTGGATCAGTCTCAGTCTCCATGGGAAATTCTTTTTTCAAAAAGCCTCATGATTATTCCAAGTTAAAGGTTTTTGGTGTTGCTTTTGCTGCTATCTGCTTGCTCAGGCTCAGCATATGCATCAAAAATTGGATGGTAAAAGCAAACCATGTGTCTTTCTCGGTTATAGCCTTCAACACACAAGGTTATCGGCGGTGTTTGGACGTGTCTTCTAACAGAGTCTCCACATTTCAAAGGCATGTTCTCTTTAATGAAGATCATTTTCCATTTCTTCATCACAGTAGCTCTTCACAGTGTTCTTCCTCTGTCCCCTCCACTCCATCACCTGAGTTCTCCTTGCCATTTCCTCAATCATGTCCACCTGCACCACAGCCTTCTTCAAGCTTTCTCTCAACTCGCTCCACAGCAATTTCCTCAACAGCTCCTCAACCCACAGCACCTTCAACCTTCACTTTTTTAACCGGGGATTAGGAAGGATTGCTAAAACACTCTAAACTGACTCAAATATGTAAAACAAAGTTTAAAATACTAAACTAGACTCAAAGAATGCAAAACTAAACTCTAAAACACTAAAACAAATCAAAAGACTCAAAACAGCAAACAAACACTCAAAACTGCCTAAAAACCACTTTCTAGGCAGTTTTGGGACTCTAACACAAATTGGACGAATTTTGGTTTTCTAATGACCTAAAACACCTAAAAACATATTCTAAGACAAGTTCTAGTTAATATGACTCAAAGAAATAAGGTGGGATTGATTTTGGACGAAAATAATTAAATGGGCAGATTGAAAAAGAAAACAGATTGTAAGACAAAATTGTGATGAATCAATGGATGATGGAATAGCTAAGGGGTTCTTCTCCACACATGAAATATATGCAACGTAAATCGATTTCCAGTTATCAATTTAATAAGTTGTGAACCTCGACACTCCAAGTTAATTAGGTCCGCTTAAATTAACCTTCAGATTTCCCTAGAATCATTGAATTGGATGAATATGCATCGCAAACAAATTATTCCTAACAAGTTCTCTATATGAATAGCATGATAAAGATACAAGTTAGAATCATTACGTTATGTGGAAATCATAAGCATCGACAAGGCATTCATAACTATGAAAAACATGATACTCTTGCCAGGAATCTACTTACGATCGTGACTAGCGATCTTCACTACTTGCGAATATAAATTCATAACGATTAGGTGAAACAAACTTATATCCTAGCACCAAATTCAAGCATGCAAATTAAGCGTGCACTTTCAATCAACATACAAGAATAAGTTCTAAATCAAACGGTTAAGCAAATTGTATTCACGACTTATGCAACGATAACTGAAAGTAATTAACTTATTTCACATATATAATCATGGTTTTGAATACACCCTTAGCCAAAACGAATTTAGCCAATCATACTTAAAGCAAAACAAAGATTACATGAATTAGACATTGAAATATAAGATAGAATACACCTAAAATTGTTCAACAACTCAGAATGAAGAGCCAAACAATTGAGTGAATCTGTCCCCTTTCCTTGCTTGCGGCAGATTGGATGTTGGTGGTTTCTTGGGTTATTGAATGATGTAGAATGGATGGGGGACGTATGGAAGTGTTTAGGGTTGATGGGTGGTGCGGCTAGGGTGGTTTTGGGTCAGAAAATATGGTGAATGGTGAAGGAATGGGGCTGTTGAAGATGGAGTTCAGTTTCTGGCGTGAATGATGAGTTTCTGGATGAATGGGGCTGTTTGTGGCTGCACAAGGATGTTTATTTAAAGGGATTAGGACATTAAAAACCCTAGGCTAATTAGGTAATCAGGAATTAAGTTTAAAGCTTCTAGAATTAGGAAACAAAAATCAGAAACTTAAGGGAAATTGACTAGAGGTGCGGCTAGGGTATTTATTCAGAAAGTTTAGAATGTTTTAGGCTAGGAAATATTTTAAGTAACAAATATTTAAGTCACAACCTAGAGGGAAAAGGAAAACAAGGTCAAAAACTAAGGGAAAGGCAAGGAAATATGCGGCACTCCTTAAACTAAAAGGGAATGTGGTTTAAATGCAAGGAAATAGGGAAGGTGGGCTTTCTTTTGCACGGCAAGGAAGATAAGGGTTAGGGAAAGTGTGGAAAGGGTATGTGAGGTGCGGCACTACCTTGAATGGTGCAAGGAATCTTTGTTTTATGTCCTAAAGTGTGTATGAGGTCTTCAAAGTGGCTGGAACTTTTAGGGACATTTAGGAAAAATCAAACCAAAGTAGGAAACCTTGGCTTAACTTTCCTACTTCAAGTAGGAATCCTCATGTGATTAGGAATCCATCTTCAATTAGGAATCCTTCTTCAATTAGGAATCCTTCGTCAATTAGGAATCCTAATGTCTTCAAGTCTTCCATTCATCCATTCCTTTTGCTCCAAAAGGCTCCAAATTACATCATTTTGCACACTTTGGCTTTGGAATCTGAAAACACACAAAAGTGACTTTAAACACTAAAATAACTAA